GGGGGGGGGGGGGGGGGGGGGGGGGGGGGGGGGGGGGGGGAATAACGAACGAGAGGGAGCTGCTAGATTCCCTTGCAAGGCCCTGACTGGCTCTTATGGCGGAGGGTGCTGGTGCAATTTTGTGCATGCACGGATGGGCCTTAGGCCAGGAAGTACGGGTTCATCAGCTACTGTGGCTGGTGTTTTTCCTCCTACAAGTGGACCCGCCATGGCTCCGCTCGCGGCTGAGAGAGCGGGGGTGGGGGGAGGGGGGAGAGAGGGAAGTGACGGAAACCAGGTTCAGCGGAAGAGATGTCACTTCAAGAAGTTGGTTGTGTCATTGCTGGTTGTTGGAGGATGTGAGGAGGATCATTGCTGTTGCTTGAATTCTGTCTGCATTTGGGGGGAGTATGCCGTATGCCGGCCGTCGTTGCTGCTTTAATTCCGGCGGCACACAGCAACGCAGGACAATCTTGTCTCTGTAGATATGAGCAGAGTCTGAGTGAGGCCCATGTGCACAGCTTGCTGGCCGGCATTCCCATCACGATCGCCCCCCTTCCCTTCCTCTCCCTCTGCCCCCTGTCGATCACAGTCCTTTCTCGATCCCATGTGCCCACCTTCACCACACTCTCATTGTCCAATCATGCAGTTCGAGCGAGGCCCATCTGCGCAGTTTGCTCGCTGCCCTGCCCATCACGATCTCTCCTCTTCCCTTCTTCTGTCTGTCACCGTCTTTTCTCAATTGCTGGCACGCCTTGCCGATCACGATGTCCCCCGTACCTGCCCATCATGATCTCCCCCCTTCCCTTCTGTTAAGCCTGCAGACGGTGCACACACATCAGCTTGCATCCTTTTGCTATTAGCCTAGTATTAGGCAAAGCTATTGATTGCTATTAGGCAAAGCTATTGTCCACTTGTGGGGTGGTCTTTCCGGACTAATAGCAAGGGGCAATGGATAACAAGTTTGCCTTAGCTCCAAGGTGTGGTTCAGTGCATCTGAACCAGACCTTAATAGCTAAGGCAAACTTCTTAAGCTAGCTAGCATGGGACAACAAGCACCCGCTGGGCGAACCCAGTGACCTTTGGTACTTCAACCACCAGAACTTTGCCCAGCTTGGAAAACAAATATGCGACGGCATCTTCAGGCTTGGCTTCAATAGGTAGGTGAGGTATTGGTGGTTTGAAAATACAAACAAGTATCACATCTGCAGAATTTGTAGGCAGAGAATGTTTTCAAGATTACCGAGTCGTGAACCCAACCCACAGCAGCGCAGCGCCGTGGGTGTGGGTCTTTGTTGCTGAGACTTACACCACCACGAGCTGCAAGGTTAAGGGGGGGGGGGGGGGGGGGGGGGGGGGGGGGGGGGGGGGGGGTATCCCTAGCATGTGGCCGCTTGGGAAGGATGTGACTGTGAAACTGCTAGGGTATTGCTGATGTTTGGGAAGAGGATGTTTCCTGCAAACTCCCAAAAAAAAAGAAAAAGAAAAAAAAAGGTGCCTCTGGCGTGTGCCTCTTATCGACGAGTCCATGCCATCATGATGCTGCATTCTTCTTTTTTCCTTTCTGGGTTTTTTGCTTTCTTTAAAGGGCAACTATGGCCTTGAGACATCATCATCACACTGACCGGCTCCAGGTAATTCAGAACAATCTTATTCAACTCATCTTGTTGCACCTGGATTCGAACTTGGGTCTGAATTTCAGCAGTTCATTGGTGTACCAACTAAGCTAGGCCTGTTCTTTCCTCTGGGGAAGGGGCAAAAGGGCACCTGCAAAAAATGACCTCCTCAAGGGAAAGGGCAAAAGGCAAGTTTGTAACTTCGTATGCACCTTGATGTACAAAAAGAACACAAGACAAACGCTACATCGAAAGGGAGGAAGAACAACAACAACAACAAMAAAAAAAAAAAAAAAAAAAAAARAAAGCCCTGATGGTCGTTGAAAGGCGAAAMAAAARAGATMAAAACYGCAGGTGATTTGAAAATGAGCATGACATGGCCTGGCCAGCCATGCAGCCCTTGAACCGCCAGCACATTGCCCAGGCAAACTTAGAGAATAGAAATCGAGCCGATTTGAAAATTCCGGAGGCTCGGGGCTAGGGGACCAAAATGGCTGGCAGCACCGGCGTTTCAGCAAAGCCTGGCGTGCAGAGGGAGTCCGCCACCGCAAAAAGAGGCTTCGATGTACCCGTGGTTTGATTCTATTTTCCGAATCTTTTTGGAAATTTTCACTTTTCACTTTGTCTTTTCACTTTGTCTTTTCACATTTGCCTCAAGCACAGCTGTATGGCTATAGCTCCCTTCCAATGTGGGGCGCACTGTGCAAGTTGACAATTCGCAAACAGCCGATGACGAAAACGAAGGCAGAAAACTGTCACGACCCCAGATAAAGAACCCAGTTCTCAACTCTGCAGGCTGCAGGCGCAGTACCCAAGGCCTTAAGCCTATACCCTCTCCACTAAGCCTCTCTACATCTCGTTACCATGCATTGGACGTCGTAGCTTAATTAACTTTTTGCTCTCCCCCACTTTCCCTGTCTAAACTATCTATAAACTAAATTGGCCCACTCCCGCATGGTGCCCAGATTTCATTCAAAACAAGCATCCGCTTGCAGGAATGGCAGCCGAAATCTGTGAGATCCTATCCCTGTGGAAATGTGTGTTGGCTATGCGTGTGTCTGGAAGAAAAAAAAAAAACAGAGAGAGAGAGACAGAGAGAAGATGCGTGTTGGGTACGTATGTGGGGAGGGAGAGAGAGTGAGAGAGAGAGAGAGTGTGGAAATGTGTTTTGGGTGTGTCCGGAGAGAGAGGGACTGAGAGTCTGTGGAGAGAGAGAGAGAGAGAGAGAGAGAGAGAGAGAGAGAGAGAGAGAGAGAGAGAGAGAGAGAGAGCTATCCCACCCTTTAGTTTTCCATACATAATACTGCATACTGCACATTCTGACTGTCAAGACAGTTGCCGTGTCAAGTTGCAGGTACAATAACTGCTGCAGGCTCCACCGTCTTTCCAGCATCTTTGTCCACTGGTTCACGCAGCTTACAGTTACCGAATGCCTCTGAGAGTTCAATTGCTGTCATTATGTTGCAATCCTCCAAGGGGAGATGATTCTGAAGATCCTCTACCTCATTAGAAGAGTCAGCAGTTCCAGTATCCTTGGCAAGATTCCCAGTGCGTTTCACACCACCAATTTCAAGGGCCAACTCCTCCTCCTCCCACTCGCTGACAGACCTCACACGTTCCCTCCTGCCTTCTTGGTTTTGGCTTTCTTTTTCAGGAAGAGGGCGAAGAGACGGGTTCAGACGATTTCTCCTCTGCATCTCCAACACTAGATCAATCAGCCAGTCCACCGTGATTCGCTCATTTTGGTTCAGTCTCGACCGCAGATCTGTGTGCACACGGAACCATCCATTCAGTAGTCGATGGACGTGTCCCCTGACCATCCGCATGTGTGCGGGGTACCGCTTGCAAAGTTCGAGGTACTCGAGCAGAAAGGAGATGTGATTGTGGTTCCCCACACCAACCTTGGTGCCACCACCGCTCCCATCGCTGTCCCATTGCAACGCGCTGACATTTGTCATGTCACCAGCGCTCTCTGAATGACCCCTCCACTGTTCGGCTTGCGACCCTGCGTTCGCATCAGCCATATCTGGCATCCCAACGTTCCAGTCACCTTCTGGATCAGGCTCTTGTTGGAGCATGATGCCAGAAAACAGGCCAGGATTGCAGAGAAGGGGTTCTGCAGACAAAACTCCATCGACACCGGTATAGCGGATGCATCTGAAACAAACGCGCGAGGTGTTCGTTCATCGAGTCAGATTTCCATCCACTGTCAGTGCACACATCCATCAAGACCACAGCATACCTTACGTGGTATGCTGCATCGCTGAGTGGAATCATTTTCAAACAAAGAATTTGACTACGCTGACTCTGAGGCTCCATAGCAGTCATCATCGGTCTCGCCGACTACCACGCAAGGTGTTCGCTGAGCCAGAGTCGACACACTCAATGCACACATCCGTCAGGATCACAAAATGAATAGTACAATGAATGCAGTCATTTTCGAACAAAATCTGACTGCCCTGTCAGCAGTCGTGGCGGTCAAGATGACTACCACATTACAAGAGACTGCAAAATTGCCTGCCTTAAAAAAAAGAAAAAAAGATGTAAAATTAGTAAAATATATATAGTCAAACAGAGCTGCCCGGTAAACCGTAGACAGAGAGGGAGAAGAGTACAACAAACGAGGGGTTGTGGCAAACTGTTTCGTCGGAGTTTCACCGACTCATCAGGAGGCTGAACCCTCAACAGTCTGCAGAATCCCCTAACTGATTACACTGTAAGTGATAATCCACCTTAACCCCGGCTGTGGTTAAGCATCAACCACTGCCCGACAACTGATACCCCTCTGAGGTGGTGGGGACCACCAACCACTGCCCTCAAGGTACCTGTGACGAAAATCAAAGCAGA